AATAGCTAAAATTACTGAAATATTTTTATTAGGTTTATGTTGTAATTATTTATCTTTGTATTATTGCTTTTAATTTTACAAGTCTAGACAAGTTATTATACATAAAATCACAGATCCTAATTGCCTAAAAGCTGAGTTTTAATTAATGTGATGGCTGTGCTGTTATAAAATGTTGATTTAAAATTCCATATTGCAGCAAATGCACAATAGCTAAAATTACTGAAATATTTTTATTAGGTTTATGTTGTAATTATTTATCTTTGTATTATTGCTTTTAATTTTACAAGTCTAGACAAGTTATTATACATAAAATCACAGATCCTAATTGCCTAAAAGCTCAGTTTTAATTAATGTGATGGCTGTGCTTCATGTATTGACACATTTTTTTAAAAATATTTCGCATAAAACTGCTTCCACATTCATAAATTTTCAGCATGTTTCCTGTTTTTCATTGTAAGCTATTGACTTGACCAAAGCCTGCTTCTATTCAATAAGAAGAGAGAAATGTCAGTTATGTTGCTTTAGCAACAATTTTAATTTCGGATATTTCTCTTAGGATATCTCTTCTAATTTGGGATTTTCTGTCTTGTAAATTCCAAAACTTAGCATACCAATGTGATTTGAATTAGATGGCTTATTTGTATTAAGCTTTCTATCAATAAAAATCATTTATCAGTTTTAATAATTTATTTTTGTAATCAGTGATTGTCAGTGCGAATTCGGTTATCAACCGCTTGATCATCAAAGACCCATTTAAAATTTCATAGACCCTGTTCAAACCTCCTGATTTAATCTGGTTATCTAAAATTCAGTATAGCCAAAGTGCCGACTATTCCAGAAATTGATTATGGGAAATTTGTGATGAATTTTTGATTTTTTTAGAAACTTTTTATAAGAACAGTGAAAACAAAGTTATTTGAATTTTCCTGCTTTTTATCCGAGAAGTCTCTCTCTCTTAACATGTTTATCTTCCCTGTATTTTCTAATCTTGTCACATGGACAGGCATCTTAGAAAGGAATTTTTTTATTAATAAAGAAAAGATTAATCTTGTACTGTACACAGGGCATTTTGCCACCTGGTGCAGTTTCTATGGGTCCCAAATTGTGTTTTCCAGTGTCTGTCCTAAATTCTAAAATTTTACAAGTCTAGACAAGTTATTATACATAAAATCACAGATCCTAATTGCCTAAAAGCTCAGTTTTAATTAATGTGATGGCTGTGCTTCATGTATTGACACATTTTTTTAAAAATATTTCGCATAAAACTGCTTCCACATTCATAAATTTTCAGCATGTTTCCTGTTTTTCATTGTAAGCTATTGACTTGACCAAAGCCTGCTTCTATTCAATAAGAAGAGAGAAATGTCAGTTATGTTGCTTTAGCAACAATTTTAATTTCGGATATTTCTCTTAGGATATTCTCTTCTAATTTGGGATTTTCTGTCTTGTAAATTCCAAAACTTAGCATACCAATGTGATTTGAATTAGATGGCTTATTTGTATTAAGCTTTCTATCAATAAAAATGATTTATCAGTTTTAATAATTTATTTTTGTAATCAGTGATTGTCAGTGCGAATTCGGTTATCAACCGCTTGATCATCAAAGACCCATTTAAAATTTCATAGACCCTGTTCAAACCTCCTGATTTAATCTGGTTATCTAAAATTCAGTATAGCCAAAGTGCCGACTATTCCAGAAATTGATTATGGGAAATTTGTGATGAATTTTTGATTTTTTTAGAAACTTTTTATAAGAACAGTGAAAACAAAGTTATTTGAATTTTCTGCTTTTTATCCGAGAAGTCTCTCTCTTAACATGTTTATCTTCCCTGTATTTTCTAATCTTGTCACATGGACAGGCATCTTAGAAAGGAATTTTTTTATTAATAAAGAAAAGATTAATCTTGTACTGTACACAGGGCATTTTGCCACCTGGTGCAGTTTCTATGGGTCCCAAATTGTGTTTTCCAGTGTCTGTCCTAAATTCTAAAATTTTACAAGTCTAGACAAGTTATTATACATAAAATCACAGATCCTAATTGCCTAAAAGCTCAGTTTTAATTAATGTGATGGCTGTGCTTCATGTATTGACACATTTTTTTAAAAATATTTCGCATAAAACTGCTTCCACATTCATAAATTTTCAGCATGTTTCCTGTTTTTCATTGTAAGCTATTGACTTGACCAAAGCCTGCTTCTATTCAATAAGAAGAGAGAAATGTCAGTTATGTTGCTTTAGCAACAATTTTAATTTCGGATATTTCTCTTAGGATATTCTCTTCTAATTTGGGATTTTCTGTCTTGTAAATTCCAAAACTTAGCATACCAATGTGATTTGAATTAGATGGCTTTGCCATCCTTAAATTTAAATTTATTTAATTATTTAAAATTATTATTTATTTAAAAATATTTTTAAAATGAATTTTGCCATCCTTAAATTTTGTTGCTTATTTCTTCACCAACTTTTAAAATTCTGCCACATTGGCTCTGGCCATGATCTGGTATTGCTTCATATATATTCTCGTTCATATTATTAAAAAAATAAATTAACATCTGTACATTCTAAATGCAGTTCTCTAAAAATTTCCTGCCATTTAGCTTTGCGATTTTTAACTGCTAATTTATTATGTTACATATTTTTCATTTTGAGAGTCATCTTAAATTAGTAGGTTATAGTTATTGCTTAGCTTAAAATTGCATCACATGTTCAGCTGAAATCTGCACTTTAGAATCAGATTGCAACTTTTATGTATTAAAAACATTTTTAATTTTTGCAGTTATTTGCATTCTGTATTGTTGGGCAAAATGACAAATTTTTGCAGAAATGTAATGGTTTCTTCTTTCATGAACTGGTAAATTCCATACTCTTAGCAGGATTCGTTTTGAAAACAAAAATATACTCAATGTGAAAAGAAATGCTAATCAGGAAAATGACATTTGAATTTCAAATTGGAAATAAACGGATGTCTGCTACACACTTGCCTGCATTGCCATGCAAATATTTTTGATGACATCTTGAATTGTTATATAATTATTTAAACTATATACTGTGTTAAATTAGAAGTGAAACAACAAAAATCAGCATAATATTTGCAAATTTTCACAGCACTAGTTTCAATGGGTTTACCGAACCATCATCCTTCACTTCTAATTTAATGCTTGTTTGGCATGTTATTTTATCTTAATTATATACTGTATTGCTTTGTAAGTACTTTTTCGCGACTTTTCAGTGATGGTGTGGATAATCAGAAAGTACTTTTTTTATACACCCTGTATAATACTGATAAATAAGTATTAATACTAGGTTGCATAAAAAAATCCACCCTGTCTTCACATATTATTTTTTAAACATGTACTACAGCAGGTTTTCTTAAACTTTCTTCATTCGCGATCCCTTTTTATCACTGAGATTTTTTTGTGACTCCAGGACCCCATAAAAGTAACAGATGAAATGACAGCATCATGTGAAAAGCAAGGAAAATGAACGTTTATATTATAAAAAGAATACGTCGAAACTTTTTTTTTCTTTTTCTGTATTGTCTTATCTTCATCTATTTTCAGATGCATTGTGTAAAAATATTTGGTAATTGTAAAAGTATTATAATAAGTTAAAGAAATATCAAGACTGCTAAAATTTTCGGCTACTCCTCCTGCTTCAGGTCCCGCGACCCCCAGTTTAAGAAACTCTGTACTACAATAATATATATTTGAAAAGTGTACCTGTAAGCAATCCAAATTGAGTTTAATTAAAGATTAGATTGAACTTCAGTTTTAAAAGAGGAAGTCAGTTGATTTTTTATGCAAAACCAGTAGCATTCTAAGTTTGAAATTTGCCCAATTTTAAATCATGGGGAAACATGCTTCATGTCGTAAAAAGCAATTATAAATCACCTCTGTTCATTTTCTAATTTCTGTATTATTAAATTAGCTGTGACAATTTTTAATTAATATTGTATCATTTTGATTTAAAATATAAAATTTGAGGTACTATTCGGTTTCGAGGGCCGTAAAAAATCGTCAAACTATTGTTGATGCCAAAGCTGCCAAAAATAATTGCGGTAAGAAAGGAAGTATAATAGTAAATAACTATCTAAGATTGATGTTTTAATTTAGAATGAAAGGTTAATTTTATATAATACTTTTTTATTATTATAATTTATATAAAAAAGGCTAAACATGACTGAATGGAAGCAAAAGAGTAAATAACTATTTCAGATCATTATTATAATTTATTTATAATTTATATAAAAATTGCTAAACATAACTGAATGAATGTCTGCATCGCTATTTCGCTACCGACTTATCGCCAAAGCATAATTTCATCTCGTTGGTTGTTCAAACGTAATTCTCTATGATGAATGATGCCTTTTCTTTGAAAATATTCTCGTTAAAGTACAGAATCGCCCACTTATTTGTTTGCCGCTTTTTACAAGGCTAAAAACAATTGGATTTTTGTCAATTTTCTTTGACATTTCAAGTGAAAATAGGTCGATGTGTACATGGATAAAGTCAAGGGAATGCACAATGCCATTTTTGTGCAATTCTGGGATGTTTTTTATAAGTGAAAATAGGTTGATGTGTACATGGATACCGAGTATGTGCAATTCTTAAAAACGCGTCAAACAGTGGATGATTCTGCACTTTGCCCAAAATTCTGTTGCCGACTTTTCGTCATGGGCAATTCCCAAATTGTTAAATCCATAGGATATTAAAAAGGATTTAAAATCAAAAAAAGGATTTAAAAATTAAACTAGTATTTCAATGGCGTCTTAAGAAATATAGAACTATATAAACTCATGCAATCTGAAATCAGCGGGTATGCTAGATTTGGCGCGCTGTTAAATGGGCGCGTTTGCTAGATTGGCGCTTTTGCGCATATATTTTCGCTGCAATTTTTTACGGTCCTCAAAACAGAATAGTACCAAATTTGATTATTAATATTACATTATCTTTAGTTACGTATCAAAAATACTCTTTTTTATGTATGTTTAATTTTCTAGCTTCATCTGGTTCAAAAAGAAGACGGCGCTTTAGTACTAGTGATGACGATGATGCATTGAGTAAGTACTTTTTTAAGAGAACTGTTTTAGAAAAATATATTTCTAACATTTGTATAGATACAGTCAAAAGTCTTTAATCCAGACCTCAAAGCTACAAACTTTACGTTTACTCATGCGCATTTAATGTATAACGGACGGTATAAGCTAAGCTAAAATTATCTAATTATCTATTTCAGTTAATGTTGCAGATTGCTTTGTTCCTAAATCTTCGAATTAGATCCGGCTTATTACTTTTTGAAGACTGTTAGAGCAATTTTATAAAAGTAAGCTTGAACTTTCAATTATGTCAAAAAGAATTTTCGATTCTGGAGCTGCCAAAGGATCTAGAAAGCGAAAGCATGTTTTGAAGTCCATCAAACACAAAGTGGAATTGCTGCAAAAAATGGATAAAGGCATATCCTTTTTTTCTCTAATCATTCCAAAATCTGTTTATCAATTTCACGCTGCTCTGCGGTGGGTTGGGTGTGGAAACGCAATGAATTGGAAGTTGATCTGTCAGCACTATCCTTATCTTCAGGGCAGATGTTTTATTTTATTCGGTTTATAAGTCCTTACTAAATGTAGTATTTCATCTCGATGTACTCTTTGATATGATTTAAATCAAATTCCTCGTCATTATAAATATCACGAATACACATCAAATAGTTGTCCGGTTGCAATTTTCTAATTTTGACTATGCGTAATGTATGCTTAAATGATGTTTAATAAAGTAAACAAATAAATATTAAGCTTTTTTTTTTTGTAAATTTTGATACCCTTTAAATCATAATTGCTCTTGATTTCATAAATTACGGTTTCATGTTTTTAATTTTATAATTTCTGCATGCCATCTTACCAGATTTAAACTGATGATCTATAATCCGGAAAAACTGATAATCTGGAATCGCCGAAGTTCCGACATGTCTGTATTAAAGACTTTTGACAGTACTTTCTTTCTAATTATCTGCACCCCCCTCTCTGAAAAGTTGCAAACTCATTACTGATTAATTTTTTGCTAATCTGATAGGTTAAAGACACAGCCATTTTGAAAATAACACACACTAAGAATTCTATAAAAGAGCAATAAATCAATAAAATTTAAATATCCTTAATAAACACTTATTCTAGAAATGAATTTAGAAGTTTATTTCTCATTAGTATGTGGTCGTATGTCATTATGATGCAAAATACTTAGTTACTAAGTTTTAAAATGCTAAATGCTTCATTGAATTGAGTTCCTTTGGAAATTAGAACTTAGAAATCTATTAAAAATGACTGGATTGTATAAAGTCATGTCTTAAAAGCTCTATTAATCCTTTGATACATGGCACTATCTACTACTAGTTAACAGATTTTGTAAAGTCCTTTTTTTTTATGAACAATTTATGAACTATGTTGATTAATATGATTTAGAAGATCAGTATTAGAGGCTTCATTAATTATCTATAATCTTATTATATTTATCTGAAAATCATTTTGATAAATAATGAGGCAAAATAGGAATAAAACATGAATGATAATGATAAAAAATGTTGCTTATGTAACTATAATTTTGATATGTTGAGAGAAAGTGTTTACAAGTGTTATATATAGAATTTGATTAAAAAAAAGTGCCAACAATCTTATCTTTTTAATAGTCTTTAAGTTGATGTTTTAGTGATTGTTTGTTTTAATTTAAATTCAAATAGTTTTTGGATGGATGAATTATACGTTCACTCTTATTTTTTGAGTGAGGATATAAAAAAGAACCCTTGCAAGGATAAGTTTTTTAGCTATTTTGTTTATGTGTATCAAATAAAAAAATTTGTATTACAGGATCACCATCAAACCCTGGTTTTTCTGATGCTCCTCCTCTTCACAAAATCTATAATAGTTCATGTCGTAAAGAAAGGCCAGATGAAGTAAGATTTTATAAAATAATCTATCCTTTGTATACTTTATTTAGTGACTTTAATTTTGTGTGTGTGTGCATATATATATATATATGTACTATAAGAATAAATTGAATTTAATTTAAAAAAATTAAATTTAAATACATATTTAATTAAATATTCTTTGCACCATTGCTGCAAGGAATGGAATTTAAATTTAAACAAATTTAAATTTAATTTTTAACAAATACATATAAAAGTAAATTTAAATTCTAAAAAAAGGAAAAAAGCCAAAATAATTTTAAAAAAAATGTGCAAACATGTAAAAGATTTAATTCTCGAACTAATCTACAATATCATTTAAATTCAGAAGCATAAGCAAATCAAGTGCAAATTCAATCCATGAAAATAAATTTACTAATTTAATAAATTAAAATTAAATTAAACATTTTTTTTTAAAAAATGCATATGTGAATGACCGTTGAGTAGGCAGGAGACAGACAAGTAATATTCATGTAAAAATTCATAATTTGATTAATAAACCATTTTTGGTCTGTATTTGCATTTTCAACTGTAGTGTTTAAATTTGGTGTTAGAAATGTAGAATTGATTCCTTCTTTATTTAAAATTAAGATCATTAATTTTTCTCGAAATCTTGACAATTTTTTTTTTTTCCATCTCCTTCAATTCTTTTCATTGAATTGTGAAACAGTGGTGCTTTTGTTTGGAGAATTGAAGCCAAAGTTGGGCTTATTCATTTAAAAAGAAGCAATTGAAAAATGTATAATTTTAATGGATTAAACAATTATTAAAACTATCTGACACTTATCACATAAAAAGTATGCGCAATTTTAACTCTCTGAGCACCATGACCGGCTTCATCCGGTCATGAGATTTTTTGTCACTTGTTATATATTAGCTTATAATTTAAGATATTTTGCTTTCTTACTTTCATTAATAATATAAATGCCATCTTGATGAATGTAAGTTTATGAAAATAAAGACTAAAATAGGTAAATATACATATTTAGGTAATAAAGGCTTTTCAAATACTGGTCTTCATGACATCTAAAAACCCAGGCCACTCAGAGGGTTAAAGAATTAAACAACTGTAACACTTTTCCAACTGTGGGTGGTAACACTAGCCATTTTGTTTTGAATATCCCTAATAGTCATTTATATTTTGCTCCTGAGTCAGCACAATTTTTCTAATTTCCTTCACATTTTCTAATCGAACCATGTAAATATAAATTGAGTGTAAATTTTGCCCGTTATTCCTTCAGTATCTATAGGAAGCAAATCTGATACAGTTTGAACTTCATTATGGATTATGAATGCTGCACAGCCTGCTTCAATTATCAGGTGATTCAATTGATTATTCAATTTGGAAAATGCATTATTAATTCTTTCTTTGTTAACATCTCCAAAATTTGAATTAATTTGGTCTGTATCATATTCCACCAACATATTTGTGAAGTTGTTTGAATCCAACATACCAATAATGGACTTGGTGATTATTTCCGATGTTTTTCCTGGAAGAGTGATTAAGTCTGGAATTTAAATTTGATCACCTTCTTTGTGATCAAAACAGTTAATAAAGATGGGAAAGAACTTTAAATCTGGGAGGTTTGAAGTATCTATGTAAATGGTTATAAAGTGAGCGTTTCCTAATTTGATTTTCAGAGTGGAGATCTCAAAGAGTTCTTTCCCCATTTAAACTATTTTTTAACCTCAGTTTTTTAATGTGCACAGCAAATTGTTTTTTCAAAAACTATTTTGATTAATTTTGATGTACAACTTCTAAATTTAAGTGATTGATTGTGCATGAACTGTGTGAAATGAAAATATTGCTTTGGGCAGTGCAAGCTGCTGTTCTCCTCATCAAATAAGTTTTTGTAGAAATATTGATAACAGTATCAAAAGATGTTGCTTGATTTGCCTTCTTATGTTTTGGGAACCGATTGTGTGGTGTATTGTCATATCACCTTAAGTAATTGGAAATGTTGAATTGCACGAAATGCAATAATTATAAGAATCTATTTTTTTCACTGTATAAAAGGAAATTCTTTTGCCATGTCATTATTAAATTTACAATTTCTTTTATTGCCTGCCATAGGGAAGTATTCTGAAAAGAATTAAATTTAGAAAATTTTAATAATTGTACTGAAAAAATTAAACTATTTATACTTTAACAGTAGAAAATATGTTTTGTTTTTCTAACCCATAAAAAATTAGCAGTAGTACTCAACTTAGTTGATGATATATTGGAAATTTTGAATTGCACGAAATGCAATAAATATCTAAATCAGTTTTTGTCCACTTTATAAAAGGAAATTCTTTTGCCATGTCATTATTAAATTTACAATTTCTTTTATTGCCTGCCATAGGAAAGTATTCTGAAAAGAATTAAATTTAGAAAATTTTAATAATTTTACTGAAAAATTAAACTATTTATACTTTAACAGTAGAAAATATGTTTTGTTTTTCTAACCCATAAAAAAATTAGCAGTAGTACTGACTTAGTTGATGATATATATATATACCATATTTGACGGCATATAAGACGCACCCTTATTTAGACGGCCACACACAAGGAAAAAAAGATTCAATAGCGTGGTTTCTTTTAGTTCTCACGTTTCGTAAAGGCCAAATAAAGAATTATTGAATGAAATTACCTTTACGTATAAGACACAGGTAAATTTTTTGAGACCAAATTTAGGAAAAAAATGTGCGTCTTATATGCTGTCAAATACGGTATTTGGAAGTCGTATCAGTTGAAGAATCGATTTGCTTTTATTGGGAGTCTGGCTATGTGATTGGTCTTTGATGTCGGGTGGCATGGAAGGCAGATGTCAGGTAAATGGATGTATGCAGTCCGAAAGCTCATGAGAGAATGAAGGTTTATCACATCTACAAGCACTGTCAACTGCACGTTGGGGGGGGGATTCTCAGAAGTTTTGTTTTCTGGATATCTGATTGGTTAACTTCAGCAAAACCAGTTCTTCAGAGAAATCGTACGAGGGACAAAGCCTCAAGCGAAATATTTTCAATTCACTTTCAAAAAGTTCTGCATAGCTAGCCAGGACACAGGTTTCAACAAAACAATTCTGGCTAGGAACTTTTCGTTGGAAGGCTAGGAACAATTCGTTGTACAAGAAGGAGCCCATTTCTCAGGAAATTTTCTTTTAGCCTTATGTGTCATAAGCAGTGATAATCCCGTTAGCCTCCCATGCCGTTCATCAGGTTCTTTAGACTGCAATTTCTGACCATGTCGATACAGACATACAGTGGTGGCCAAAATTGTGGACACTTTTGGAAATTATGTTTTTGAACTTTGTATGCTTATAGAAAATGTTACGTTTCACAAAATGCAAACTTGTATATATCATTTTAAAGAGAATTTATTACTGAATTCAATACAAAACACAAAATTCAATTATTTGCAATACAAAAAAAGTTAAACGATAATAGTTATCGATAGACATTCGATAGTGATGATTGCAGTGAGTTATCAGTACTTAGTAGGGTACCCGTTATTTTTTATTACACCTTCACATCGACGTTTCATTGAGCTGACAAGAGTTTTAAGCTCTTCTTTCGTTGTTACATGATGCCAGGAAACAATTATAGCCTCAATTAGTTTTCTTTTATTTGATGGGCACCTCCTTCCGACAAGAGTTTTCAAACGTGCCACAAATTTTCGATAGGATTGAGGTCAGGACTGTTTCCTGGCCATGACAACAATTTAATGCTCTTTGTACGAAACCACTCTTTCGATATTTTTGCCGTGTGGCAAGGAGCAGAATCCTGCTGAAAAATAAATGAAGCATTGTTGGGAAAGAGATTTCTGATGGAAGGTAGAAGTTTTGGTTCTAGAATAGTGTCAATGTATTTTCTGGCATTCAGTGTCCCATCGATGACATGAAGGCGACCAATACCATCTGCTGACATGCATGACCAAATCATAACACTAATTGGGTTTGTCACAGTTGCTTGAATGCAGTCAGGATGTAGCTCTTCTCCTATTCTACGTCTTGCATATTTTCACCCATCACTACCGAATAACGATATCTTAGTTTCATCACTCCATATAACTTGTGACCATTGATCATCTGTCCAATTAATGTGTTCCTTTGCCCACTGTAGTCTTTTTTCGTTGCTGAAAATTAAGATAAGGCTTTTTTGTGGAATTCTACCTCTCAGTCCAACATCTGTTACACCAGCATCATTCAGATCACTTCTGATGGCCGTTGATGACATTTTTTCTATCTTGGAGACATACTCTTTTTATTCTTCTGTCATCAATAGATGTGGTGCACCATTTTTGGCCTTTTCCTTCTTTGTTTTTTATTGAATTTGTCTCCTGATATCGTAAACAAAACTTTCGGACTCCAAATGTAGTCACTGAACCACCCACCTGTCTTGCAATTTCAGCATAGGAAAGACCACTTTCTCGTAACACAATAATATTACATCTCTTTCTAGGTGTCTAATCTACTCTTTTATTTGATGTCATTGCTTCTTGACTAAATATTAAAAATTTTTACAAAAATTCATACTTGTAATTGCAGTGTATAAGAAACAGGTCTTCCTTCTACAGAACAAAGCAAAATAATGAATTGTTTCAAGTGTAAACATGATGTCAGCTTCTACTGGCAGTTACTAACATTTGATTGGTTCTGAGAACAAGAACAGTGATTGGCCAGAAAGCTAGACATTACAAACCACTTCATAACTGTTTTTTTTATTTATATTAAAGTACATATAACTTTTTTTTGCATTGCAAATAATTGAATTTGTGTTTGTATTGAATTCAGTAATAAATTCTCTTTAAAATGATATATACAAGTTTGCATTTTGTGAAACGTAACATTTTCTATAAGCATACAAAGTTCAAAAACATAAAAATTTCCAAAAGTGTCCACAATTTTGGCCACCACTGTATATCATGTTGCCAGTGCAGATGTAGGACTATATATAATAGGGGGACCGGAAAGTAATGTCATTTCTGCGCATGTCGACAACAACATGCTAAGGGCAGAAGTGGAAGCAAATCCATGTCAAACACTCTTAAGCAACCTTGTTGACTATCCAAGAACATTTAAAGCAGAATGGAAAAATAAGCAAAGCAGGTGTTGAGACCCCCTATAATCTGTCCGAAAAGAATAAAGCCAACCTATCCATCACATGTAACGTATTACTTCAACGGCACCATACAGAACTGTTTTTTGATCGTTTGATTAGTGGAGACAAAAAAACAAGTCCTATATGATAATCCAAAACTTAAAAGGCAATTTTATTAGGGGTTACAAAGGGTTTACAACCCGAAAAGGCTCTTCTGGGTGTTTGATAGAGTATTCGCGGAATTGTTCATTTTGAATTGCTGAAACCTCGACAAACTGTTAATGCAGACCTTTATTGTGAACAATTGGATGGAGTGAACCTATCTTTAATTGAAAAATATCAATTGTCAACAGAAAAGGCGTCATTCTGCGACACGACAGTGCAAGACCGCACTGTGCAAGATGAACACTGGAAAAAATTAATGAATTTGGGGTGGGAGGTACTGCCATACTCGGCCGATATCGCAGCATTGGATTTCCATTTCTTCGGATCCCTACAACATTTTCTTAGTGGCAGAAAATTTGAAAATTTAGATGATGTCCAAAATGTCTTCTCGAGATATTTTACTCAAAAACCAATTGATTTTTATCGGTCCGAGGATGAAAATCTGCAGAATAGAGATAGTAAAGAGATGTTGATAACGAGGGTGGTTATATTATTGATTAAAATTAAAAACTTGTTAAAAAAGTATTCATTTGAATTTAATGTAAGAAAGCGACATTACTTTACAGTCTCCCTATTAATAAGAGATATACTAGCTAAGCTCAATGTGTTATCATTGGCACACGGGTGATGCTCAGCAGCAGTGGGGGTTGGTAGAAAAGTTCCATGCTGTCCTCGCACCGAGGGCACATTGACATAGTGATAACATCATTGGTGGTATCCTCTTACATAAAAACATGCTTCACATGGAAAGCCTAATGCTTTGAAAGTAATACAATCCATATGTGGAATCCCCATGTGCACCTGTAGAAACTAAATTAATTTTGACAAATCTTGAATTTTTACAAAGTAAATTCTGGGCACATATCCGTGTGTAGCACAGAGCTGGATCTGGCAGTGCAATCGAAAATCTTGGGCAAATTAACACCCGTTTATGCCTTAAAAATGTGTTTTTAATATCTTCTATTTAACCATAAAGTGAACATATTTGAAACGCTGAAGAGTAAGAGATTAAGTAAATAACCCCTGTCGGTCGATGCTCGGAATATATTAATGAAACTGTAAAACTATTTTGACGCCTCTTGTGCTTATGATTTAGTTCTAATACAGCATTAGTGACTTGCCATCAACTCTAATTATTTCGTGTGACTGCTGTCATTCTTGCTTGAAGCTGCATATGGGAAGTCTTGTATGTATCTAGAACATTTGTTAGTTTTCAACAAGGAAGCATTTGGTTTTGACAAAAAAAAAGAAAATGTTTTAATGAGTGTATACAGGGATTGCATATAACTCCAGTGCCTTTTAAATTTGGTGCTTGTTTTATTATCGGAATGTTTCTTAAAACAACATTTTCATAATGTTTGAATAGTTTATATGTAATATTTTGAATAGGTAATAGAAGAAACATACATGGATAAATTTAGCATTTTCTTTATATTCTCAAGGCCCTCGAGTCCTTTTCTATAATCAGACAAACCGGACCTTTAGCGTGTTGACAAAAGCAAAGTGTCATGTATTCCAAGTACAAACTTTTGCAGTTTACTCATTGGTTATTAAAAGGTTTGATATTGGGTATCTCAGTTTCAGTTTGCTAATTATCTGAAAACTGCAACTGTTATGTCAAGAATGGAAAGGGAAAATGTGTTAAGAGATTTAAGAGACTATTGCAAATTAAACTTAGTATTTTGATTTACCTATCCCCCCTCCTCTCAAAAAGAAAACGTCTTAGCAATAGAAAACACTGTTTAAAGAAAAAGCATTAAAGCACTAGCAAATTAGGACTTTAAAAAATATAAATCATGAAATTTTGAATTTATATATTTGTATGAATTTATTTGTTTATATGAATATTTTAACATAAATTTTTTAGCATAATATGTTTGAAAATAAGGGCTATTTTTAGAGTTTTATTGAAATTGAGTCCAATTTAGAAAAAGTTCTTATTTTTGCAAAGTCATGATGGTTCTTTAGGAAAGGGCTTTTCTAAATTTTCATGCAAAATACTATAAGTGTGTACTTGCTCATTACTTATATTGATACATTATATAAAATATAACACAATTTATAGCACTCACTTTCATATTTCTAAAGCATTACCAGTGTGATAAAGTTCTAAATCTGATTGAAGTATTTATCAGTAAAGGGACATTCAAAGTATTGTTAAGTAGTTGGCAGGGAATATAAACATTAATATCAATATTTAACAAATTAGCTTTTAGCCATTTATAGCATCTAGATGGAAAAACTACTTACCTTCAAAGCAAATGCTTTGAAATCATAAGCAGTTATGCTGAAGGACAAACACATTGTATTTTGCAAATTTCTGTAAATTTGTTTGCTTTGTTTCAAAACAATCCCTGTCGGTAATTTCTGCCATCTTTTAAAATGACTGAATCAAGCTACATCTCAGTGGTTTTCTTTCATAGTGATCTTTCATGATTGTATTTTGGATTTGTTTTTCAGTTAAGTTTCATCTCTTTAAATATTGGTTTTCAAGTAATTAACTACTAACCAGTTATCATATTTCTGAAATATAAGCTACTGGCCTCTAAATATCTAGACTACTGAGACCAGACGCAGCCCATTTAGATGATCAAAAAATCTGAATAATTTTTTTCCCTTTCTCTGTAGGTAAGATACATATATTTGCAATGCGAACAAGAAACCATATAACCATAAGTAATAACATCGTATCATAATAACACTTAAGAAACCATAAGTGTTATTGTAATTATAACAAAAAATATGGCTGAGAAATAATAAAATTATTTTTAAAATGAAATTTAAAACATATTTTCCATTAAAATAGTCAAACAAATCAGAAAGACTTTTCTGAATACAAATACATTGCAGGAAATACAACTGTTAATCTGAAAAGTTTTTTGAGATTTAAAAAATACTTTGGAAGCACACTCAAGAGACATACATCGCTAACTGCATTGTGCGCTCTTGAACATAACAGTCAGCCGACATTGTACCTTAGTGGCATAGGAGAGTGAACTTTCAGCACAATGATAATGAAATTAAAATAATTTGAAATTTAATTTTAACAAAAGGTGAGGTCATAAAAAGTCTCTAGAAGAAAGTTTCCACAATATTTTTGATAATTTAAACAGTTTTGTTGAACCTTTAGAGTTCAAATTGACAATTAAGAATTCACTATATTTTTAGTTTGCTCTAAACATTTATTTTTTGACTAAACCAAAGTAATGAACTACATGATTTGTTGGTCTTATAACTAAGCTCAAAGTTTTAATTTTACTGGAATAAAAATAAGTACTTTTTTCCGTCACTGTTCATGTTCCATTAATATATTTGCCAAACTTTTTAATTTGTTCTTATTTGTTATATATATTAATCTGAATTAATTTAATAGATCCTCAGAGATATGTAGTGTACTATTTCATCTTTTTATTCTATTTAAATTATGCTTGCCAAAATAAATAAATTAATATCAAGCTTGATTTTATTTGATCTAGAAAGAACAATAAATATGTGTGCGGTTAAACTTTAAATGTCTGAAATGTTTGCTTTTTATTGCTTAGACTGTCCTCCTTTTTATAAAGAACTTTTGGAACAAATAAATAAATAAATAAATAAAAAATAAGTAAATATTTAAAAAAAAAAAAAAAAAATCTGAACGGTTTCAGATTTTAAATTACGCCCAAAAGGCTGCTTTTTTTTTTTTTGTGTGTGTGTGTGTTACTTTTATTTATTAAATATCATGTTCTTCGCACTTAAACTACAAAATTCAGCTCAAGAGCAGCATTGCAAAATAATTTTAAAATGAGCATATCTTTAGAATTTCGGATACATAGTCTCATGGGCTGGAGATAGAAATGTTTTTTCGCCTTCCATATAGTTAGTGTTGTCATTGCTCAGTTTGAAATCATTTAATTTGTTAATAAAAAATTCGTTAATGTTTAAGAAAATCTGAAATGGATAACAAAACAAATTCCAAACTTCAAATTTCGGCTTCCAGATGCCCATATTTGCAGGAGGATTACGTTATTCAAAATTTGATGGCCCTAAGATACCATTGTTATGCAAGAAACATACATACATTTACGCAGATTCTTCATTATTTAATTTCTTTAAATAGAATACAGCATGATAATATTTGGTCGCAACAATTTGAAAAGTGAAACAATGCTTTTAGTGAATCGACACAAAATGCCAAAACAAAATTAATAGCCTTTTTGGGCAAATTGCCCCCTTGGTCTAAAAATTAATATCACTACTGTCTTCCTTGTGCTGTAATTGTTTTAGTTCTAAAATTTGAAATATTATATTTAGTAAGTATTAATAGTAGAAGTACTTAAATAGAATTCAGTATCACATATCAAAATAATTGAATTGGAATGTAGGATGTAATTTAGCATCTTGTAGCCTTAACTAATGACATTTCTAAAACAAATAAAAAAATTAAAGTTTTTTTGAGTTAAACATTTGGAATATTCAAGATTCGAGTTCATTAGAATTCCTGATTAATTAATTAATTTGATTAACCATCACTATGTTAGAATAGGTTGTAATATTTATTTGATGAAGTAGTTATTGAAAAATATATGCTAGGTATTGTATGTACTATGTATCTTTACTCTAATGTCTTTTGTCATGTGTGTTTAAAGTTATTTTTCATCACTTTTAGTTATTTCGAAAGGATTTAATAAGCGCTATGAAACTACCAGACAATGAACAGTTAGATGAATCAGAATTTTGGGATGTTAGTGATTCTTGGAAACAGGAGTGGGAAAGAGGAGTGCAAGTTCCTGTGAATTCAAAAAATGTACCTAATCCAGAAGTCAGGTAAATTATTCTTTCCAGTCTTCTGATTTTGAAATTTTAATTTACTTTTTAAGTGAAATCTTTTAAAATTTTGTACTTCTACAGGGAACAGTCTGATTTTTCTTTGTATGCTTCCAAATTTATTTTTTAAATAGTAAAAATCAAAAAGCAAAATGTAAACCCTTTTGTGACCATGAGCTAATTAAAATTACTTATTTCAAGTTAGTTAAATTTAAATACCTGCTTACAGTGTTGTTTATGAGGCTAGGTATAACTTGTTTCTAATTAGTATCATATCCATGTTTTAACAGAAATCAGAAACTAATGAGCGTAAACTGAGCGAAATTTTAAAATCAACCAGCAGACGATAAACATGCACTATTTAAAAAAATGTTCTATTTATTTAGTTTTTAAAAAACTGTATATATATATTATATAGGACTCGTGTAATAGTAGTGTCACCTACTGTCATAATGATTGTTAACATAAATATAACTATACATTTAGGGTTTAAATATTGCCAAAGACTTGTGTTAATTAATTATTTGTATATGCCAATTTGCTATTTCTTCTTGAACAATAAAAGAAAGCCCATTAGATAAGTGCCCTGGCAAAATTAAGAGTTCTGAGTACTAAAGTTTTAAAAAGGATTATACAGTACAAAGTCTGAGATCAGAACTCGATGATTCTGGATTAGGGATTTTTCTGGACATTACATCATTAGTTTAATTGACATGTAGAAGTCAACAGATTTCACCGTCCGTAGTTGACTGTGGCTTTATCATTGCAATAAAAATCTTCTGTTATATCATCAGTTATTACCATTTCTCTGCATTTCTTCACAAATTCTAGTAATTAGAAAATTTTGCATTTTGTTTGCGATATTTCAAAACCTTCCAATTCATATAGCATAACAATCATCCATTATACGGGGGGATGTGTCACAAGATTGGTGACTAAAGACATAAACTACTAAATTTTGTTTTGCTTCTATAACACACTGATGAAGTTAAGAATCAATTCTTAAATTCTGTTGCACCAGCAGTGGTGCTGGACCAGGGCTAATCTTAGTAACAAATCAGTTATTCTCAGTTGAAACAACTGTAAATGTAATCTTTTCGCCTGGGAGTATCATTTACAGAATCTACCTTTTGCACTTAGAAAAGAATATCTTTTAAATTTCTCCTCGTCAGCATGCAACATTTCGCAGCACAATTAGCGAAATTTAAAATCATCAGTGCTGTAAGCTAAATTTGTAACTGAAATGTCAGCATAAAAGGTTATCATAATCTTTGGTATTCAGTAATTAATATTTTTAAAAAATTGTTTAGACATTGCTGTGCGAGTCATTTCTCAGGATGCTGTAGTTTGATAGTTATGGGGTGATGAAAGCAGAATATATTCTGGGGAAAAAAAAAAAAAAAAAAAGCCTTGTGATCCAGATTTTAGATCTATGCAGATAATGGACGTAATATTATGATGATCATACTATGTGCTATTAAGTTTCTCCTTTAAAGTTTTTGAAATTATATGTTTTAGACTGAAAATTAGCCTGATTAATTTAAAACAGTTTTTCAAGTAATTCAGTGCTTGTATATGCATTTTCTTTGGCATTTTGTCTAACAGGCATAACATTGTTTAGTCATGGTTTTTTCTCTCTTGTAGTTTCTGTATTTTTTAAAGTAATTTTAAAATCTTTAGTATTACACATTTTTTTCCCTTTTATGCTTTTTTTGTTTGAATGTAATTTATCCATGATACTAAACTCTAGATTCATAAATATATGATATGTATTATGCAATACAGAGTCTGAGATTTAGAATCCTTGGGACTTAATGGATTTCGGAAAGTTCTGAATTTTAATATATTTCAATTTGATATCAGTTAAAGTTTTGTATAATGACATGCATAAATTATAAAGTAAAGAAACGAAGTAGTATTTATGAAATAATGAAGTATTTGTGACCTTAAGGGAATCAAAATTTACAAAAAAGTTCAGTATTTATTTATTTCATAAATATTTGTTAGTGTAAATTGTTTAAGCTGTTTTATTTATTTTTGTTAATACTTTCTCTTTAATTTTATAGATCAACGTAATTTCTTATTTAGTTACAAAGCTTCATTTTTTAAGGTTTGTAATAACCATGTCAGGAATTCTTACTAAACTTTTAATTAAATCCTTTCATTTTCAACAACTTCTTTATGACTTCTGTGTTGGTAGTGATATTTTCTGGATTTAAAACCATGCTGCAGATTTCATCATTTCTTAGTTGATTGATTATGGGAGCTTTATCATCAAATGGAAAAATTTCTGTTACATTGCTTCTCCATATTCTTCACAAATTCCGTTAATTGGAAATTTTTGCCTTATGCTGCTTATGTCCTCAAACCTCCAGATTTACAGCTATCATCATTAATTAAAATACCCAGTTAATTTCATAACTTTCTCTAGAGATAACAAGTTCATATCCATTAATACACAACCTTACAAATACTAGAGAAGAAATATTCATGCATATCAATCGTTCTCTTCCCCTTATAATGAATTCCATTAGTTTAAATTATTTTCTTGGCACCTTCAAATAAGCAAAACATTTATCAATAATCATCCATAATAAGTAGCTAGTACATATATTACATGTGTTGTATTTTTATTTCCTAAAATGATTAATAGTACCCTATGTAAATAAATTTCCTTGCTTCTAAGAGCTATACAGTTCAAACAAACGGAGTGACTGGACACACCACTGAATAAATAACAAAAATAATACGTATAATATTTATTATTAAATATATTTATTACTTTTTGTATTATCATAACTGCCTAGGCTACCTTTAGCTAGGCTACAAAGGGGTGCATCGGAAGGGAAAACACATGCAAGACAAGCTGGCCCCAGATCCTTTTTGATCTTGATAATTTACTGACCAAACTGATTTTTGTCTCTCTCACAAGCTTCAAAGAAATATTGTTTTCTCTATTCTTTGAAATTCTACAGGCTGCAATATAAAACATAAAATTATGCTTGATCAACTGGATTAATTTTCTCATTTTTCTATTTTAAGTCTCCCCAAATAAATAAAAACACAACAAGTGCTGCAAAGACTGTCATCTTGACACCTACAAAGTGAGTCACCCCAAATGTATGTATGGAAATTTGACACCTGCTGACTTTTGAAAGCAACACAGAGATAAGGTCACACCTACCCTTTTAATTGCAGTCTGAAAGAATTCACTCCCCTCCATTAAAAAAAAAAAAAAAAAAAAAAAAAAAAAAAAAAAAAAAAAAAAAAAAATCCATTTATCCATCAACTGTGAATTTCCAGATTGAAAGTGAAGCACAGCCACCAATTATTTCTTTTTTTCATGTACAGTAAATGGAGCTTCCTGTGGCAATGGAAACTTTAAACTGCTCTTTCCCATTGTAAACCCTATTCACAACCCACCAAGAGAATCTGTTTGGGGAACACTGTTAACTTAGCCTCTACTTCCATCCAAATGTTCCAAAAAACACTTATTGCTTCTTCATGAGAAAATCTAAATATCAAAAGTAAATTCAACTAAAGCTTTTAACTCCCAAAAATAAATTTCCATTACACTGATCACAAACAAGTTCAGTTAAATAAAAATCTTAACAGGAGGTAATTAAATATGTAAGCACAATAAAAATTTTGCTGTATAACAGTTAGGTGGTGTATAAATTTTGTGAGGAATAAAAACAGGTATAATATTGTTATTTCATTTGCAATTATTACTTTTAATGTTATTCTTTTTACTTACACAGTGTATTTTGCTGTCTGTTGGTACTATCATAGATTGAAGTTTCCAAATGATATACCAGAAAACTAAGGGGGGGGGGAATATGTGAATAAATATGGTAATTCTTATACTTTTATTTTAACTTCTGTCAGAGCTTTACTTTAAAATAATATTTATCCATCCTAATGTTACCTGAAAATAATTAGCTTGAAACTCAATTTTATGATTAGAATTCACAGCAAACCTTATTTATACTTATTGGAATAAATTTTAAGTGTTGAATATTTGTAGCTCTTATCTAAATTACTTTTAAATAATTTTTGTATTCTTGAATAAATAGGACTTGGATTTATTCATATTTTACAGCAGCTTCTTTTATATTATTCTGTACATGATACAGTAATTATATTTTGTCCTGATGTAATCTGATATTATGTAAATGAAATGAAATCACATTTTCATTGAAAATTAATGTTTTTTTTTTTTTTTTTTTTTTTTTTTCAATCTTAACAGAATATTGAGAGATAAAAAGTCTGCTGGTTTTAAATTGTAAGTATAAACATAAAAAGTATGTGAAATATTTTTTTTCCCCTACTATTTGTAAGAAAGGTGGTGTAATATATAAAAGAATGTTTCTTTTCTGCTAATAATAACCTTATGCGTGGAATCCATTTTGTTATTTATAGTTTTTTTTTTTTTTAATTTAAGGAATTTCATTTAGGTATGTAGAATTATATGGACATGCACTTTTATGAAATTTAATTTTGAGGATTCTGCCATGGTTGTGTATCACTTAAATTGCGAGATACATTTCTGACCTATCCATGGTGACTTATGTAAAAAATATTTAAAGTTTTGCATAATGTGTATCTTCTAAATGGATACCATATTTAGAAGAGCTGTAAGGAAGAAAAACAAATTGTGTTTGTTTTTCTAATAGTTTAGAGAAAGTAGATGATAATTAATATATTGTTGAAATTCACAGCTTAATACTTATTTGTGTGCGAGTAAAGTTTCAGCATGATAGTAAATTCACCCTTTTTTGTTCTCATTCTTGAATGGGATGTGACTGCTTGAAGTTTTTGCAGTTTTCCTTATGTATGAAAAAGTACTAGTCAATTATTATCACCTGTAAATACTAATAAAGACAATACTTCTTCAAATAATCCTAGTATGTTTTGACATAATTCATTAATGCAGTTGAATCCTTTTTATGTGAATTGTTAGTTGTTTGAATACTGCTTGATAGATTCATGTATGAGGCTTTTTGAGTGTATGCTTTAAAAAAAAAAAAAAAAAAAAAAAAAACCTCTAAAAATTACATCATGTAAAAATAAAAGTATTATTATGTTAAATATTTAAATTGTGTCGCTCACAGTGCCAAAAGGAACAGTTTACAAATATATATTTTTGTGGTGACATCTTCATTTTAATCTTTGTCCTAAAGATATAGGTAGAAGTGTACGGAATACCAGAAATTCACCATTGGTCGTACATGCATAGTTCCTTAGCACTAATTATGCAGTTCTGCCCCAATTTAAAGAGAATGCTTGGGGGGGGCAGTGGTCCATAGGTCTCCTGTTTCTGTTCTCCTACCGTCTTCTCAAGAAGACTTTGACTTGCCATGTATTTTGAGTGCCCCATTGCTGCACAGACATTATATGCTTAAAAATAGCTGTGCCTTTTTTTTCTTGTCTTCAAACCTGGGCCCATTGGTATAGCAGTCAGTGTCACTAACCACTATACTGGCTTAATGGCTGTTGATCAGTACAGTTGAATTCCAATAATTCACATGCTTTGGGACTAAGGAGATTGCAGATTACATGCTATATCTAAGTGACTTAGTTTACATCCCTCTTTCTGTTTTTTTTTACATAATGTTTGGATTATTTGCATGTAACAACTGATCAGAATATAGTTATACCTTTAAAATCATGTAAGATTTATTGAATGTAAAATTATTATACTTTTTTAATATATACTAAGAAAATGATAAATAAGTAGATTTTTTCAGAGAAGTAAAGAACTCTTTTGTAAAAAAAAAAAAGACAAAATATTTTAAATTAAAAAAATAAAAAAGAAATATATGCCTGGATTAATTTTCAAAGTGATTTTAAATGACATGAAAAGGTAAACACATAAATATGTACTTTGCAACCTCCCCCAACAGTATGGTTTTAGCTAAATTGAATCCATAAGTTAATTCTGCCATTACATTCCTTGCATTTCTAATGGGACATTACTAGCAACTTATAAAAAGTGATAGAACTGAAATTTTAGATATATTAAAAGAAAATTTCTATGTTAGATAGTCCTTTATTACAATGCTTTCCATTTTTACTACCAAATTTCCTTAATTGCTGTTTTAAAAAAAATATTATTATTCATGTATTCATAGCCTATGCAGACAAGCTTGTTTGCTGTGCAAGATGCCGCATGAACTAAAAATGAATTTTTTAAAATCAAAAATCATCGCTTAAAGAAAGGATTTATCTAAAACAAAATATCTACCAAGATTCACAGTCTGTTTATAATAAAAGTAATGCTGAATTACTTCAATAATAGTAAGGTTGCCAACTTTCCTAATTTCCGACCAATATTCTGCCAACTTGATTTACAACATATTTCTTTTGACTTTTTCTTATTCTTAAAATTTATTATGATTTTATGTAACTTGGCTTAATACTTTGTAATTTTCACCACCAAAAAAAAAAAGGGGGGGGTGTCTGAAAGCATTTGATTTTTCTCTAGCTTACAGATAAAAGAGAAACAAACTAGTTTCATCATTGAGAAATTATGACATGGTTCTGCTTTGTGAGTGAGAGCACGCATCCAAAAATGTCGTACTTCAGTTCTCCAATGATCGTCAAGTGCCACTGTGTCATCGGGCTTATAGGCAATGAGCACACAACAACATCGAGGTTATTGTTACGTTCATCTTGTCGTTGAGCGGTGTGAATACACATGCTTTCGAGAAATAGTTTAAGAAATTACAATGTTTTGTTGTAGTTATGTCTGGGAAAAAGGTAAAATACTCATGTACTTTATAAAAATTCTACACAGATGACTTTCCTTCTATTATTTCCTCAAGGAAATGTAATACATTTGCGATATGTACCATTTGTCATTGCAATTTTTAGATTTTGTGTGGTGGAAGAGCTGATGTTCTCATACATATGTGTACACAAAAACACAAGGTCAACATGAGCTCTATTGGGCGGATGGGGACAATGAAAAATTTAATTTGTCTGTGGAAACAAAGGACCACAAAGTTATTAAAGGAGAATGCCTGCTCTCTGCCTTTCCACTGGAGCACAACCTGCCATTGAATCATGCTGCAGCTTTATTTATAAAAATGTTTCCCATTGGCGAAATCACTAAGAAATACTCAAGTGCAAGGACCAAAACAGCTGCATTTGTTAAAGAATTGGGTATAAAAAATAAATTCTCAGTTATTGATTGCATTAAAGAGATGGAAGAAATAATACCGATTCAAAACTGTATCTAGTTGTTGCTTTTTTTTTTTTTTTTTTTTAAATCCAGTGTCTACAGAAATTGTGTGTATTTTATTTTATGTCTCCACTTTAAAAAGACATTTGATGGCTTTAATATAGCACAGCTTATTATTAAAACTTTAAAAGAAAATGCAATTCCTCTGGATAATTGCATAGAACTTGGTGCTGATAATGCACCAGTAATGGTAGGCTTGAACACTTGTTGCAGGCTTCTTAAAAAAGGAAAATTCAGATTTGTAAATTATGAGGTGCACCTGTCACCTCTTAAATTTGGCTGCTGAAAAAGGGCCAATAAGTGTGAATCAATCGTTGATATTTATTATTATCTTGATATGAGTTCTAAAAGGAAGGAAAAATTGAAACAATTCCAACAGCTGCATAATACTGAAGAAAAAATTGAAACATGTACGTACATGCTGCCTCGACCAATGGAACCCAAATTCTTGCATTTTTTAGAGAAAGAGGTAAATGCTTCTAGAGTTAAGATAAAAGGCTATATTGAAAGTTATAAAATACCTAAAGAAAATGGAGATGTAGTTACTACTTCCACTGCAAAAAATAGATTTGAGGAAAAGAAAAAGTAATTTCTACACCAATAAGCAATTTAATTGACAGTTTTCAAAATAATACTACAAAATATAAGTGTAAAAGCTAATACAGATTTCTCTCAAAATAAAAAAAAATTGCTCAACAAGAAAAACATTTTCCAGTTACCTTAAATTTATCTTGTGAAGAACAAATATTTATGTTTTTGTTGTCAGACACTTTTTCCTTTTTTTATACAATTCATTTAGCTATCAATTGCTGTTCTTAACACACTTTTACAAAGCAGAATTCCATTAATTCAAGTTTTGCAATCAATGATTTATGATCTATTTAAAGACATTTTATCAAATTTTGTTAAAACCCATCTTTGTTTTGTCTTCTAATTCTTTATATGATGTGATTTATGGTGAAATAGAAAAATCAGAAGTTAATAATTTGTAATTAGGGCGTACAACTAACAAAGTAGTGGAAGAACTTTCAGAAGAAGACAAATAGAAGTTTTATTTCCATGTTAGAAGCTACTTCTGCCGATTATGTGGATGCATACTACATAAATTTCCAGTCAGCGCTGAAGTGATTTTAGATTATTAAGCTGTACATGTTTCTGCTTTAACAAATGCATCTTTTTGTGATATATTTTTAATAGATTTCCAGTTTTACTTCATTTAGGCATGAAAGACTATGATATTGCTACTGATTGCAGTCATAATTTTGCAGTTTATAATTTGAAAACCTGCATAAAGTTGTAAAATCAACTAGGATTGACACCTGTTTTAAATTTTAATTGGAAAACTGAAAGGTACTGATAGAATTTTATAGTGAACTGTCTAGAATAATGTTGGCCATTCTGACAATTCCCCATAGTAATGTAGGGTTCGAGAGGATTTTCAGTGTTGTTGCGAAAACAAAGTCTAAATTTAGACCCAATATTATTAATGACACATTAGAAAAACTTTTATTAGCAAAATTAGTGCTACATGGCAAATGTTATAAACAAAATTATGAAGTTTTTTTCTTTGAAAGCCAAATCTGCCACTGTTCCTAGCATTTGTATGAAAACTGATTAAAGTGTTATTATTTATTTATTGTTAAGAGATGTAAATACTGTCAAAAGTCTTTAATCCAAACTCGTCGGGACTTCGGCGATTCTGGATTATCGGTTTTTCCAGATTATAGATCATCAATTTAAATCTGGTAAGATGGCATGCAGAAATTATAAAATTAAAAGTATGAAACAGTAATTTATGAAATAAAGAGCAATTATGATCTAAAGGGTATCAAAATTTACAAAAAAAATCTTAATATTTATTTGTTTACTTTATTAAACATTTCTTTCAACACACGCATACGTTACGTATAGCCAAAATTAGAAAATTGCGACCAGAAAACTATTCTATGTGTATTCGTGATATTTACAATGACGAGGAATTTGATTTAAATCATATCAAAGAGAGTACATCGAGATGAAATACTACATTTAGTTAGGAG